AAATCTAGATGCTGCAACTAATGGGAAACCAACTCTCATTATTTCCCTGATCAAAATCTGGTTAAGCTTTTACATATGTACAGTTTTAAGTCTTAAAAGGTAAATAACTGTTATCAGATGTCGTTAGCTTAGCATTTAAACCGGGGACACACGTTGCTTAAGTGCTGGTTTACACATTTCCTTTACAGCAGCTACAAACATGTGTGAAACATAAGTTTTAATTTAATCATAATAAAAGTATTTAAAATACAACTTATTAAGTTGAATTATCGACTCAGACCACGTTTTGTCGGCAACATTAGGGCTCACGTTAGCCTAGCTACCGCTAAACATCGCACGCATTTTAAAATACAATCATATCTACAGAACTCCAGAGAGCAAAACCACAACTTATACATCTAATATAGATACACTTTCAGACGAGCCTTTAACGTTTACTATTTGCAGCTCTATAACTAAAAAAGCATGCGAATTATTCATTCATAATTGTAAGATTCACAAACCTTCCTTCTTCGCCTTCGGTGCCATGTTGAGAAAGGAAGAACGAACGGGGTTTCTTAGGGTTTAATGCAAGGGCGAGACCTCAGGAGGTTCTCGCGATATTTCAGAAGTCTGCTGGTAGCGCCCTCATCTTCACTTTAAAGTATTGCAGTTCCTTCATGTGAAGAAAAGTACATGGCTGAAGCTCTCTGGTACTTTGATTACAGTAATTGTGGCTTTAATCAAATGAAAATAAAAGATTAATTAAAAACTGTTTTAAAAGCGTATTTTTTAATACAAAAATGTTTAAATCTTGTTTCCATCTCTTATATTTTATGCACTCAGTAATAGATATATAATTCTAATTTAACTAGTCATGAAATAAGTAGTTGAGATCTGTAATGAAATTTCTACCAGCAGAAATATTTTAGATGTCAAGATTTCTGGATATCTGTAATGTTATATTCATTTTTGATATCTAAATTAGTAATTATGACTAGCAGTAACTCTATTATTGAGATCTGAAATCAGAATTCATCCTCATCAAAATTCATTTTTAGATAGGAAGAATGTTATTTTAGATATCTGGAACTAAAAGCCGAATGCACATAAATGGGAATCATGACGTTATTTGTACTAGTAAGAATTACATTTCAGATATCTGAAATTTTTATTTTAGATATGAAGAATGTTATTTTAAAGGGCCACTTAAAATTTGTTAAGATTTCTATGCATTTGAAAGTTTATACTTACTAGTACAATTATATTTTTGGCGTCCTGAAATTAAATTTTTGCTGGCAAAAAATGTAATTTAGGATATCTATATGTACATTTCTGGCTGGTAGGAATGTAGTTTTGACCAGGAGGAATCTTTTTTTAGAGAGATCAACAAATGGAGCAATAGAGAGGACATCGCTTCTAATAAATATCAAAACTGCCTGCCATAAAAGCAGTCATTTCTAATTTGGATAGGAAGAATGGGAATTATGGATATCCACAACTAAATTGTTCCTAGTACAAATGTAGTTGTAGATATTTTTAAAGACTTTTGTACTAGTAAAATTATATTTTAGATATCTGCAATGTTTTCTTCATTTTTGATATCTGAAATAAAAATCATGATCCGTAAAATTGTATTACGGAGATCTGAAATTCATTTTCAGAGATCCAGAATGTTTATTTTAGATTTATCATTTTAGATATCATTTCAGATATCTGAAAGTAACGGCCCAATACGCATGAATTAGGAAAAGTGACACCATTTGTGCTACTAAGAATTACATTTCAGATATCTGAAATGTTCATTTTAGATTGCAGGAATACTATTAAAGATATCCGAAATACAGAAAAATATATATTAAAACAGCCACTTAAAATAAGTTAAGATTTATAAATATCTGAAATGTAGTCCTTACTAGTACAAATTTTGATTACTTTAAATTTAATTTCTACAGGCGGAAATGTAATAAGTGATATCTAAAACACAATTCTGACTGGATTATTGTAATTGTAGAATGTTTTAGTGCTATCTAAAATAGAAATGTGACTAGTCAGCCTGTCTATTTTATGTTAAAACGGAGCCTCATTATTCTTTTGAAAGTATCTAAAACTAAATTTTAGATAGGCATTATTAAAATTAAGATATTTGGAATTCTAATAGTCATAAAATAAGTAAGTGATATCTTTATTGAAAATTCTTCTAGCAGAAATATATTTTAGATGTCCAGAATTTGATTCTGGATATCTGTAATGTTATATTCTATTTGGATATCTGAAATAGTAATTATGACCAGCAGTAACTATTATGGAGATCTGAGATTAGAATCCACCCTTTTCAGAATCCATTTTTAGATAGGAAGAATGATATTTTAGATATCTGTAAGTAAATACACATGAATGGGAAATTTGGTGTTATTTGTACTAGTAAGAATTATATTTCAGATATCTGACATATCTATTTTAGATAGGAAGAATACTATTAAAGATATCTGAAATTTTTATTTTGACTAGGAATAAATGCATTTGAGACATCTGGATTGCATATTCAATGAAGTTAATAAATGTCAAAACAGTCTGCCATAATTGATCATTCTGTGACTCTACTGTTAAAGAATAGAACATTCCTTTATTGACCCACAATAGAGACATTTTGGAACCTCAGTTTGTTGATATCTGCATTGTTGAATTTGGTCTCTCATATTTTTCTTAACAGATTCTCAATTTTAAAAAATGACGTCTTTAGTCCAGATAGCAGGACAACCAGGACATTCATACCATGGTAATTAAATCAGTTACTGGTGCATTAGACATTGTGGGCAGCTAACAAGTCCTGTTGGGAGATTAATCAGCATCTCCGTTAAGCTTGTCAGCATAGGACATTAAGTGCACCGGTTTCCTCATCTCCTAGAAAACAAGAAAATCTACAACCATCCCAGTGAATGTGCTCATCATCCCGTTTCTTTTTTTAAATGTACTGATTATATTGCCCTACTATGGTATTTGATTATACTTTTTTCTTTAGAACCTGCATTTTGGACAAACATTTTGTCCCCCCCTAAGAAAAATCTTTATAATGAACATGTGTAGGTAATTGAATTCTGGAAAACTAACCCTAACCTACTAAAGAAAATTCCTATCTCTTATATGATAAAACAAGTACTGAAAAAACAGCAACAAATGAGGTGAAAAGTGAACAAGTAGGAGTTCAGTCAAGTTTTCTTAAAAAGGTGTATTTTAATGCATGTTTAAAAATCATCATCTGTGGTGTCCTCAGATGGTCAGGGGGAGCATTCCTCAGACTTGGAGAAGTTTATCAGAAACCTTCATCTATCAGTGGTCTGTCATACATCTCCAGGCAGCTGGTAGCTTTCATAGCAGTGTATAATGCTAAATGCATTTTATGCTTAAAATTGGTAGGATCTATGATACAAAGCAGACAATCTTTAGATCTCTTAGAAGCCAAACTAAGAGACTAAATTACCTTTAGGTGCGTTTGATATAGACCACTGAGTCCCAAAGTTGGGGTCATGATTTCACTTTGGGTCCCAACTAGTATGGGGTCATAAGATTGAGCTTACTTAAAGACTTACTTAAAAATGAACAAAAACTGGTTACTATAGTTACTACTGCTGTTTGGAAACTTTTTAAACTGTTAATTGTTTTTAAAGAAATGTTTGCAAACTCAACTATTTGTTTTGGTCATGAGTCAAATTCAGTACCATTTTCTGGGTCAAATGCTGAAAAGTTTATAAATCTCTGATCTAGACCACTTTAAATATATGAAGGAAAAAAAAATTGACTCATAACTCAAGAATAAACTAGAGTTGGTTTAAAAATAGTAATGTATTTAATAGGGCTGCAACTAAAACTTTTTACAAGATTAAACCAGGTGAGACTACAACTTTTCCACTTGAGTTCTGGAGACCGTATATAGACAGGTGAAAACAATGTTTTTATTTGATCCTAAATGCAAAATATTTATATTTTATTTTTTACAATTTTGATATAATTACTGCTCTTACTGGGTTGCTCTGTCAGCTAAAGCCACGTTTGAGTCTCTATACTCCAGTTAACGATTAACCGATTACTGACTTAGTTGCAGAATATTTCAAAAATCTATTAATCTGATTGTTTCAGCCCTGGTATTTAACATTTTGATTCTGCCAAAAGACAGTGGACACAGACCAGATACTTTAATTTAATTCTAGTACTCCAGTAACATACAAGGCTACACTTGGATCATTTTCAAATTTGCCAAATTTACATCAACAAAGATAGATTGTTTTTTTATGGGGGCTGATTCTAATGCATCAGTGATAAAGCTCATTAAATCCTTTCATCATTATCATTCCCGCTCTCTGTCTACCTGCTTCTTTCAAGAGCACTTATGACAAAATATAAAATAAAATAAAATCAATAATAGTTTCTACACAATTTAAGGCCACCAACTTCAGAGTTAAACTTTCAATGTTTAAAAGGATTTTTTTTTTTTTTTATTGTAGTCAAGCTTTAAATATTGTCCATCCATCCAACTTCCCCTGTTTCATCCATCAGTGTCATGGTGGGTCTAGTGCCAATCTGCATGGGCAAAAAGCAGGGTTCACCCTAGACAGGTCACAAGTACTTTAAATGTTGCTTTGACAATATGAGTGTTTTACTCAACTCTGTTGAAAAAAAGGATATATATTTAAAATATTACATAAGGCACTGAACTCTGCTGTAACCAAATGTAACCCACTGACTTTTTAAAATAAATGGAGAATATCATTTCACAAAAATAAATACCGTAAGCTGATTTACTCACTTGACAGATACATTTACTTACCTTTTAGCTCTCAACAAGTTTTATGCTTATTTACAATCTGAATGCTTACCTTTTGTGATAATCAGGTTTCTATGCGCTGCCAATGCTGGGAGCCACCATGTGCCACAGAATGAGAACAAACCTTATCTTATCTAATTATTTCCATTTTGCTCTTCCAATTCCAGAATACTCATTTAGATAAAGGATAAGGCTCATTTAAATCGGTAACATAAAAAAAAAGTTTATTTGAAAAGGTGAAACATCACATAAATAAGGCATTGCATTACCTCTGTAGGCCGTAGATCTGCATGACTCCCCCCAATTTCTCTTTAATGTGCCTGCAACGCCCTAAACAGCAAGCTTTGCAGTAATTACACGTAACTTAGTTTGGGGTTTGACATTTAAGCCCTGATAATCTAAAGCAACGGATAAAATATTTGAAAGATTTAGTATGATTAATATATAAATGTAACATTTTGAACTAAATGACTGAAATAAACTTCTCAGTGATACTCTAATTTGCAGAAACACCTATAGCGTTAAACACCAGTTTAAACTGACAATATTAGCAGGGAATGTTTATCTGTGATGAACAATCTAATAAAGAATTAAAGAATGAAAAAATGACTATGTATAAAAGTTTTTCTTTATTCTTATTATACAAAGCACAACTGTGGAAAAAAATAAAATAAAATACCTAGAATGTTAACCATCAGCCTGCTTGCAGCCTCTTTTGTCTTCACCTTTGATGCGTTCCTCAGGCTCTGTTTCTGGTTAAAAAAAAAGAAAATTTTTATTGTTACAATAATAATATTAATGGTGATTCCTATACTGTTGGTCCTGATTTATAAATATTTACAATATGCATTGCTTTGATTAAACTGATGCAGGAATTTGAAATATATATATATATATATATAACATAAGATTTTTCAATAAGCAAGCGGTAAAAACATCTTTACTTTTTCAATTTGGCTCCAGATGACTTTGAACCCTTTTTTTGAACTAATTCTTTGGGATTTCCTTCTTTCTGTCCTTTTTGAGCCTTTCCGCTCTTTTTCTTCTTCTTCTTGTCCTGCTGTTGTGCTGTCGGTGGGTCATTTTCTCCTTTTTCCTTTGACGCTTTCTTCTGTCCTTTTTTCTCTGCTTTGGCTTTCTTCTTCATGAGGAAGCGAGGAGTTGTGCAAATGGTGTCTCTCTTAGGAGGTTTCTTCTCTAGTCTTCGCTTTACTTTGCTAAAAGAAAAGCAAAATAGGCTGATGACTAAACTTCAGACAGCAAGGGGCTTCTTGAAAGCATTATATCAGATGTAGCTAGAAGGTTAAAATCCTAAATCTCACCAACCTGTGGATCTTTTTGAAGCCGATCATGTAGTCCGGTACAGGGCACCCAGCTTGTTTAATAACATTAGCAATGCTGTTTAGATGAGACATACATAAACATATTAACAAGAAAGACCAAAGCATATTTTATTCTTAAAGAACAGATTGTCTCACTCATCATTAAAGGTCAAACTAATGGATCTTTTTACCAGATGTTCTCAACCTGTGCAGGATGGCTCAGAGGTCTTTCAGTTTTGCCATATTTTTCCATTTTAGAGGTTGTAAGACCTTTGTTAGGCATTTCCGAAGCTCTGGATAATGTTTTTTAACCAAGTAATTTTTAAAACGTCTCTATAGGTCAATATCTAAGACCGTTGGTTGCATTGGATTTAAATTATGGGTAGTGAGGTAAAGGAGGATAACAACAACCAAGGTATCATATGTTTAATATATTTCTGCAGTTCACAGCTATGCATAAATCTAGTCATACTGAATCCCCCAAAAATAATGCTGCCATTTCTTAACCTTTAACAATCGAAGCCCTGAACCGACTCACAGATGAAATGTTTTAGCTCCTCTGCTTTACATCCCAGCCTCAAATGGCACCTATAGTAAACTAAGAAGGGGATTATCTACACAATATTTGAGTCATGCTTTGCCTCCTGGTTTTAAAACGGCCAGGTTGATTTGTACCTCCGCAGCAATGGTTTGTCGTTTTCCGTAAAGAAAGTGATGGCCTTCCCCCGATGTCCTGCCCTTCCCGTACGACCTGAGGGGTAAAGAGGTAATTAAACAAAGTCTAGATATAAAATATGTATTAAAATAAAATCCTTCAAAGTTTGCACTTTAACAATTCACAAGATCGATCGTGATTATTGGATTATTGCAATCATCAACTCATTTTGCATTCCCAATAATGGTTAGAATGAGTTTACATACTAAAGCATGTTTGCTGAAACAATACCTCACTTAGAACACTAATAAGGTCAAAAACCGTACATTATTTACAGTTTAATATTTACAGTTTGCATATTAATGGATGTAGCAAAAGCTGCAGTTTTTGTAGAGGTCTGCACTCTGGCAAAAAGTTAAAATGACATCAGCGTTCATGAAAACCGCTGTGATTGCCCAGGGGTCCATTTCACAAAGCAGGTTTAACAAACTCTGATTCAAATCCACAACTCTAAATTGATCTAGCCTAAAGATGGGAACTCTGAGTTTTTGGTTTCTACTATACTAGTTTCTAATTATACTAGTAAGATTTATGTTTTTTATATCTAGAAATATTTACACATTTTAAGTGGCCGTTTTGACATTCATCAGCTTGACTGATGTATTTATGATATCTTAAATGCATTTCTTCATAATCAAAATAATACAAATGCTGACCACTAACAATAGGAATATGGAGATCTGAAATTTTTTCATCTATTCCTTATGCGAAGAATGTCATTTTGTTTGAAATGGTCATTTAGACAAAGAAAATTTAGTTTTTTTTCCAGATATCTGGAATACATATTCAGTAAAACTAGTAAATATCAAAACAGCTTGCCAGTTTGTTTTGACCACAATAACATCATGGGTAATTTCTTGAATGGTAGTGAATCAATGTATGTATTTAGGTGAAATCATCGGGCAGCAGATGAAAAGGAAAAATAAAAATTCTGTTCTAGATAGAACCTGTTCATTTCATGGGTTTCTGCATTTTGATTCTGTCTTTTACACATTAAATACTAAATGGCTGTTTGCAGCCGTGCTTCGGAGGTTATCCCTATAAATGGTTATTATTAGCGGCTATCAGTCCCATAGAATGGCATCAGATTGTGCCTGTAGGCTCATTAGGTTGTTATAACTGAATTAATCCTAACCCTAAAGTAATTCATTTTCCCCCTGCAGAATTAATTAATCTATTTATGTGTAATCTGAAAATAATTTCAGTAGTTCTTCATGTACAGTAAAAATAAATAATAAAATGTCTCTCATATTAAACAAACTAAAAACAAATTTCATATCCAGTCAACTTAGTTGTAGAATTCTCTCCCTATAAATATTTTTCTCTTTGAATTAATGCCGAACATTCTTTGATAAGATCCTCGTCAAACGGACATGCAATGTTTGATTTTAAAAGGTAATGTCTGTAACAGACCTAGGGAATGATACATACATTTTTTATGCATAAAACCAAGACAAAAATCGGACTAAATCAGGAAATATAACAATGTGATTGGCTGTAAGGAGAGCGGAGGAAGAGGACTCTTAGAAGTTAATGAAGAAAACCTGCTCCTGACCAGGTTAGCTCTGAGGAGAACGTTACTATGGTGACTGAAACAGAGGTTGATGAAACTCTCTTTGTGAACCGGAAAAGTCATCGTTTCCCATATTTCAGGCTTAGAAAACTTAAAGAGTTTTTAGTAAACCTACTTCCTGAAACGGACCCCTGGTCTGTTTGGAGGCATAATGTCTGCCAAGCTAAGAAAGTTATACCTGTACATATTAAACTTTTCACTCATCAATCAAACAAAATAAACTAATTATTTGATTAGCTAAATACACTTTTGTTACATCACATATTTCCACAATCAACCAGCTTCATGTAGCAGCTCTATTGAAGCTCAAATGGTAAACAGAGTCAAAAAGTCCTTGTTTCCCTTGAAACCCACCGATTCTGTGGATATACTCCACAGCGCTGGTCGGGAAGTCATAGTTCAGCACCAGGTTGACACCTTTGAAGTCGATTCCTCTGGCGAGCAGAGCCGTGCAGATCAGCACCCAGATCTTACCCGAACGAAAGCTGTTCACCACATTGTCCCTCTGAAACACAGGAGCCAGTCGAGGCGCCATTAATCTCACTGGGTTCCTGGACCATTTACCTGATAAAATTACAACCTTTACCAGACTCAATGGATAAAGTCACTGATCAATTGACAAACCAATGGAAATACAAAAGAAATTATTGTACATTTTATAGTGCCACGCATTTTGGTTAATTGTGACGATTATACAAGTTAATGTTTACACCCTGAAAAACACGAAGGATTGATGAATTATTATCTTTTGAAGCTTTCATCTGTTTATTCCAAAGCAAAAAACATCTTTCTAAATATGAGTAAACACCAATCTGGTTGCAGTTTAGCTGTAAAGTGTGACTAATGCCACAGATGACTATTTCTTCATAATAAAGTGAGTTATTTTACAAAAATCAACATTTTCATTTATGAGCTTGTTGTTGCAGCCTTAAAATCTAAAGTCAAAAAAGACTGAAACAGATGTTTAAATTCCGCAAAGCATCACAATCTAATTAATACCTGATGTACGGATAAACAAATGGATGGAGGAAGAGATGGATAAATAGGTATACAGCTGGTAAAATAGATGGACTAAAACAGAATGATGGACGGATGGATGGATGAAGGAAAAATGTTAATATTTTAACAGGTGGTTTTTACCTGCTGCTGCGTGCGTTCGGCGTGGATCACGTCAACATTGATGCCTTCGTACACCAACTCGTGGAAGAGCTCCCGCGCTCGCTCTATGGACTGAACGAACACCAGCATGGGAGGCAGGAAGCCCTGGAGCAAAACAAGGAGAACGTGCTTCATTTGACCAGAAAAAAAAAAAAAAAGGTAAAACTCTATGCTCTTTGTGAGCTTCCTGACTTTTTTGATGAGGTCCCTCATGGCCACGAGCTTCCCGTTCTCTGTCCCGACGAACAGCAGCTCCTGTTCCACCGTCTCCACTGCTGCATTTCTACAGAGAATGTTTTTTATGTTTTAAAAATTAAACAAAAATAAACACAGATGTATTCAGTCTGGCTGGGAGAGACTAACCTGTGTCCGATGTTTACAGAAACCAGGTTGTCAAGGTTCAGACGGCACCACTGTTCCACCTCTTGCGTACAAGTAGCGCTAAAAAAAGCCCTGCGCACCTTAGCGTTGGAACATGCAAGGAAAATGGTCGCCAGCTGCTCCCTGAAGCCCGTCTTTCCGTCCTCGAAAAGCTTATCAGACTCGTCAACAACCAGCCACTCCACACTGAGGGACGAAAGGCACGTTTGGAGCGAGGCCAGACATGAAATGAGTGAAAACAGAAGCCAGGAAAGTCAGGTTACCTGCTCAGGTTGATTCCTGGAGGATCCTGATTGAGAAGGTAGATCAGTCTGTTTGGAGTACTGACGAGTATATCTGCACAGAAAGAACACAAAAATAAGAATTATAAAGTGAAAAAACAAACAAACCGAAAAACCAAATAGAAAAGATTTGGATTATTTTTAAAGAAAAAAAATTAGCAACAACTCACCATACTTTTTATTGGACTGCGGACCGTATTTCTTAGCTGCCAGAGAAGCTTTATCAATGATATGAACTCTGAAGCCGACGCCCTCCGACAGGCGCAGCAGCTCCCTGTAGGTCTGAACACAACAAATCTGAGTGTCTGCATGCAAACAAACTCAGTGCATATGACAGCTATAAACTGGCACAAATTGTGTAACAAAGCCTAACCCGGTTATTTTTTTTTTTACCACTTCAATTTTTTTTTGAGTTGCGGTTTTTTTTCTTTCTTTTTTTCCCTTTTTTGTTCGGATAAAAATCAAGATTAGTTTCAGAAGACAGATTTCCAAGCTATCAGCATAGAGTTGTGTGTGTTCACCTGGCTGGCCAGTTCTCTGGTTGGAGAGATAATCAGAGCTCTGAAGCCCAAGTTTGCTGGCTGCTGCAGGTGAGCGAGCAGAGGAAGAGAGAAGGCCAAAGTCTTTCCAGATCCTGTAGGAGCACAGGCTAACAACTCCCGACCCTAAAAGAGAAAACCATTAAAATTATTTCAGTTGAAATCAGAGCTCTGTGCTTTGCTTGGGTACTCGCAAAAGCTTTTTAACCCACATGCATCATGAGGGGTATGGCCTGCATCTGTATCGGTGTTGGCGTGTTTAGTCCTGCTTCCTTGAGGTTTTGGATGACGCGCGGGTTGATATGATACTCAGACTGAAGCTCCTCAAATGAGCAAACTGGGTCAGGCACATCACTGCCATGGACATTTATACGGTGCTGTGCGCGGATACGATTCACCTGGAGTCACAACAAGAATAAAAGCTTTAAGGAGGAAGAGTTCTTTGAGTGGACATTCAATTTATACAAAAGCTGACAAATAATCTATTTGAGTGTTTTGGTTAAAGGAGACCTTCTCCTGATGAAGATGCTTCAGCCTCTTAAGCGAAGATTTCTCTTCCCCATCTTTCTGTAGGTTTTGGATCTTTCTGTCCAGGGAGGAAGTCCAGGTGATGCCACCTTTCTGGGTCTCATTCAGCGGCCTTTTATAACCTGGCATTAAAGGCACACACACAAAAAAATTCTTTATGCAGTTTCCTCTTGATGCAATGAAGTGGATCTCATTGATGAACTTTAAAACATACATCTAAAGAAGACCAGCTGCTGCAAAGGTCAAACTTTGCAGCAGACACCAGATTTTGTATTTGTTACACCCAAGATGCATGTATTACATTAAAAGGGGGGAAAATATCCCCATCTACAACTCAAAAACAAAAAAGTAATGTGGCAAAGCATGAACAAGCTTTATAAAAACTTTCACAAAACTCTAAATTGGAATTTTTTCCATTTATTTTCTTTTTTATATTAGTACTAAGCTCTTCTGAAATACAAGAAACCAGCATATATGATTGTTTTCGCGTCATAGTTACCCAGATTCAGGGGGAAAGAAACACTAACACTAGATCCATCTTACCTTTCTCATCCACCTGATTGATTTTAGTTTTCTTGTTTTTCTGCTTTACGTCTTTTTCTTGCACTTTGTGCTTTCTTTTGCCACCCTCCTCTGAGTTTTCACTGTCACTGCTCTCACAGTCTTTCTTCTCCTCTTCATTCTCTCCTTGGCTCCAGCTCTGGACTCCATTAGCCGCCCCTGGGCCGAAGTAGTTGATCCCAGAAAGGGAATCCAGCGATAGTTCCCCACCCTGAGATCTGGCCACCTAGTTTGAGTAAAAAAGACATATTAGGATAAGCTTTTCAGTTGCTATACATGATTTCAACAATTATACCACATTTAACTATCAAATAGGAATAAATAAATAAAAAGTGTGAGAAGCCACTGATACTGCTGCTAGCCAAAATGGGCAGTAGCTATAATTGTTAGCCGCGACTTCCCGGTTATGATCAATAATTGATACCAACCTTAAACCGAGCAGCGTCTTGGCCAAATCTCTTTAAGTCAAATTTAGCTCCGGCCCCGAGTTTCTTAAACAGTTCAAAAGCGTCCATTGCTGCGGCAGCAGCGTGGTTTGTAGGATTCACGTAGTGATTATCAACATCCGGGTCACGTCCAACCTCTGCTTCCTCTGCTGCCCCCTGGTGGCCATTACTTCTTGTGGGGACATATTTTATGTCAGCAGGGCTTGCTGTCTCTCTTTTATGTACTGTGTCAGGTGATGGAGAACTACATTTTATCCAGCTCCTTATTTAATGATTTTATTTTATTTCACTTAATAGTGATTTTTAACTGACTCTTGTTTTTTTTAGATATATACATTTATATCTATACATAAATATCTATGTGTGTGTATATATATATATATATATATACATACATACATATATACACACACGCATATACATACTTAGACGTAACTTTGTACTCTACCCGTCTAATTTTATACACATTCACCCTCTCTATAGTCTATAAATTCTATGAAATTATTTAGATTTCTTTTAAAATCAAATAACTATTTGCATATGTCTACTCCCCAAATTCTTCCTCAAAATATCTACTAAATTAATAATTACTCTTTTCCTTAATACATTCAAACCCTCTCCTCATATATCTTCTCTCACTTTCATATTTATGACATTCCAGTATAACATGTTCTATTGTTTCATCTTTTCCACAGTAATCACATTTGCCAGTAGTATGCTTTTGAATTTTGAAAACTGTATAATTAAGTCCTGTATGCCCAAATCTTAACCTTGTTATCACTATCACCTCCTTTCTATTTATTCTTTTTCCTAATATGTTCTGAGTTTTATAAAACCCTCTNAAAAAAAAAAAAAAAAACGCAATGTCATTAACACTTTCATATACTAGGACATGGTTATTAGAAGACTGATCCCGAATCCACTACTCATTCAGTCCCAAAGCCTTCAGTGACCAGGAGCATCTCTGAAAAAGGATTGTGAACAGACCAGATTCCCACCAGTGCAGAGCTTGCTAACAAATAGCAACAGGGATGTGTGAAGGTTTCTGCAGAGGGAGGCAGCAACTTTTGGTCATGGCCTAGTAAAAAAAGAAATTTGTACCCCTGAAGAAAACATCCAAATCTTTTTTTCTTTTTTTTTTGCTGCAATATAAAGTGCAATGCAAGGACTTATCCTATAAAGTCCTGTTTTCACATGTTGCATTAGTTTGTTGCAAACAGCTCAAAACTTAAATTGATATTCTGTAAGAAGAACCAGAATTAGACAGCATAAAATCTGTTTGGGAAATCTGGAAATCTGATTGGCCGGTCAAAAACACTTCAATGCTGCCATGAGGCCGGAGTCACATCAGCAAGGAAGCTGCTTCACTTACAATCTTCCCCTAAACTGTCCTAATCAAATTATTCTCTAAAAGCAAGTTTGCTCAAAGAACAAGAGACATTAAGAGATGGCCAATATTATTTTCACCATTATAGGCTCTGTGTATAAAGGAAAAATAGAGAAGCATTTGGCTCAGGAATAAAAACATTTAAACTATAGTTTAAAGCAAAGGAACATCCAGATCTTAATCCAATAGTTAACCCATAGTTAACCCAAACAGGTTATGAAAGTCTTAAACTAATAGATGGGTAATAAAGACTTACTGTGCATAAACTGGATACACTTTACATTAAAACTAATTTTATGCTACATTACAAACATCTGACAAAAGCACACCAACATTATAGCATCAAAGTCTAAGCAAAAAAAATATTGTCTTCAAATTTTAGCCTCAATTACAAACCAGAACAGAATAAAACGGGTAATATTTAACCCATCAGAACGACGCATTCTGTGTAATGTTTGATCAATTCTGTCAATTATTGTAGACTCTTGATTTTCTTATTCAAATTGCATTGTATTCTACTTTAAATACTAAAATTGTGAGCAGCAACATGAAGTGATGGGCGGTATAACAAATTGTATGGATCAAGGTTTTGCATATCTGGCCTTTACCATTTTTAAAAGGCTTTAAATTCAGCCTCAGGTGCACAAAACACTCAGGTTATTGCACATTGCGATTAAATACACCCTGGCTGTTTCTATGTGATTTAAGAGGCACAGCAGGAAGCTGGTGCTGCAGATCAAATGTAGAGATCAGCCAGTTATCAGCAGTGCATAAAGAAAACAGGAGTTATGACAGTTTACCGTTCAATTACTCTTTATAATTAAATATTTTGTATGTCCATCTAATGTCACCAGACCCAATACTGGTCTAATGATGATGACATGGTTTGTTGCAAGTAAATTTGTCAGTTATATTGAATAACTGCAATTAATCACATTGATGTCCAGATTTGATTTAGATTTACAAACTAATTACAGGTTTTCTTAAAATATAGTTTACCTTAACATAACTAATATATTGCCTAAAGCATTGGGTGGACAAATACACTTTGTTTATGTAAATTAATGTTTATTATTATAGGAGCAATAACAAAGATGACAATTATAAGAAATAATTTACAGAAAAATCTATAAAGGTATTCTCATGTATTTACTTCCACATAAGAGTTTTCCTCAGTGATGGGGAAAAGTTAAGACAACAGATTTTGTATGGCATTAAAATTAGGAAAACAAATATAGTACAATGGAAATGCAACAATAGGGAGTGTAAAATGGAACCAGGACTCATCCGATAAAGTGCTGTTATAATTTTTTTGGGGCTTTTTTAACGTTTTATTTTATGCAAAACTACAGAAACTACAGGTATGACTTTAGAGAGACATGATCAAGGTTTGGTTTTCCTGAGGAAGATTCATTAGGATCTTTTCAAAATTAAAAAACCTCAAAGTCTGCTTAACCTATGCATGCTTCTTTTTTTTTTTACATTAACAAACTTAAGCTGTTCAGAGGAAAACATATTTGAATGACAGATGTAACAGGCTGAACATAAGATCATTTCTCACATCTTTGTTGCTTCTGAATTCGTAATTTTTTGGTTTTTCATTTGTTCAAGGAAGTTGATTCAGTGGCAAATAACACACGGTTTCTGTCTAAAAGGTTAACTAGTCCAAGGATTGCAGTATTTCCCCCTTTCAGCCACTGCTGAAGGGCGAGCAAAGCTGGTCTGAGTGTCAAAGACAAGAGGTTGACAGGAGATGACAGAGTGGATCATGACGTTTTAACTAATCTATAGAGCAGGCAAGGTCCATAATGTACGAAAGCATGTATGCATAGAAAAAAAACAATGTCATAAAAATAAAAAAACCTGCGTCATTGAACATTTATGTTAACTTTTTTTTTTACCTGCAAGATTTGATCAGCTTTCAGTAACATATCATCCTTGTGTCTCTAATCTCTATTGATGCCTTTTTTCATCACACATGTGAGTCAAAGAGGAACATATATTACTTTTTCTAACCCTAGCTCAAACCTTTAATTCCTAAATATTTTAAAGTCAATGAAACAAAAGTTTAAGAATTTGAGCCCTTATAGAAACCTTATTGTGACGTAAACTATGATCACCTTTTTGATGCTGAGATATTGCTTCCATACAGTTTAAAATATTTTCAAAGTTGTTATCGTAAATCGACTGAACATTCAGTGTTTTTTGAAAAGAAAGGGAAATCTGTTTTAAAATTTCCCGGCATCAAGTCTAGTTCAACTCGGGATTTTATTTAAAAAAAGAAATGAAACCATTCACATTTTTCTTCCCATTTCACAATAAATTTAAATATGTGGAAGTCAAGGATGTTAAAGCTGAAGGGGTGTGAATACCTGTGCAAGGCATTGTGTCTTTTCATTAGGGAAAGGGATTTTTAAAGAATCAGAGTAAAACATAGATCAGTGCATGGTTACAACTGACACATCATCCCAAGACTGCAGAAAAAATTCATCACAGTCTACTAACACCATCAACACCTCCAATTATAAATAATAGAGTTGGGCCTGTTTTTTTCAGTGCTTAATCCTGTTTCTCTGCTAGATATAGAAATATATAAATTCAGCTTTTATTGTGACTAACTGTGTGCTCTTTGGCATGAAAACTGGCTCAGAGTTCACCTGCCTGTTACCTTCCCAGAGCGAGCCACCCATTAAGCTAGTTAGTCGTTACCTTTTCAAACATAGAATTTATTTATAGATCAGCGCTTCTGTGTTCCTCTTGTATATCTGCTCCTGTCTCATTGAAGCCAATGACTTGATGCAGTCAGCTAGTTTTCCTTTAAGTAGAACTAATCAGTCTGCATGATGCGACTGAAGCGTCTCTAAGCTAAGATGACTAAGATGGCTAAGATGTTGTGAATTGGCGCAATATAAATAAACAGAACTGAAATGGTAGGTTACTGTATTGAAGAAAAGCCGTGTTTCCTCCCAAGGAACTGAATGGTTTGTCCAGTAGTCTTCTAAACAAACAGTTAGTTTTAGGGACCCTTCTTTAATACATAGCTTGTAACTTTAGAGTTCATCAACTTTAAAAACTGGCATCAAGCAATTAAAGCCAGATTAATGAACCGCTTTATTTCTATGATCAGAAGCTGACAGTTTCTACTTTATGATATGAACATTTTAATCTGTATTTTCCCAAGGCAGATCGTTTATTTTGCCACTCTGTCTCACCTCCTGTCTGATTTCTGAGATTCCTGTCAAAATGCTGCACAGGGTTGGACAGCCTGAGGCACAGCGATGGCGAGTCCTGAGAAATCTGTGTGCATCGTTAACGTTAACATGTTCTAAAAGCTACAGACATGATCCTCTTAGTCAAAGTCAATGTAGTGTGGACCAACCAGATGGACGTCAGTATTATAACATGTGGTTCATGACTGATCTGCTCTTCCTTTCCTTTTTAATCCAGTTTGTCTGACTTGCAGTGAAATCAGATTATAAAAGCACATTTCTAAATTTCCTCACATATCCTTAACAGATCCTCCAGGAAACGAACCACGGCCTCCTTCTCCTCCGCCCCTCCCTCCTCTTCTGCCTTCAGGCTCTTCAGCCTGACGACCGTCTGCTGGAGTTGAACCCTTCTCTGCTGAGGGCCGTTATTTTCCTCCCCAGAGTTCCTCTCTTCTCCAGCTTCATCTGTTTTTCCTTCTTCTTCCTCCACTGTAAGATACTTGATTAAATGCTCTCTAACACCCCTGCCCTCCTCCCCAGCCAACGCCGCGCTGAGTCCAGGCATGTCCTGCAGCTCGCTGAGACTGAGCAGATGCAGCAGGGCCCCTGACAGCGTGTGTCGGAGGCAGGCGCTGTAGCGGTACTCCAGGAAGTTGACGGCATCTTCGCTGTTTTCGAGGGCCGTGGCCAGAGAGCGCCAGACGCAGCTGAAGCGCTTCGTGTCCCCATAGCAGCTCCGCTGCGCTGGGACTGCGAGAGCAGCAGCTGATTTGATGCGGACTTTGAAGTTTTTGCAGGAGGTGACCACGTGGCAGAGGGCAGAGAAGGCATCCTCAGACCACGGCGCTGTCTCTGTCAGGAAGACACACAAGTCCAACAACTAAAAAGAAGGAAATTCAGCACCGAACTACATTCATCCTGAAACATCTAAATGATTATGATTAACTTCACTTTAAACTCTAGAATGTAATGATAGTTATAAGAATATTTACCGAGCGGCAGGGCGGAATTTCTGAACGCATTTCCCAGTGCATAACAGGCGTTCCACCTGACTTTCATCGTAGCTTCTGATTGGACGGTTTTCACCAAAGCTCGAACTGCATCTTCCAAAGGACGCTGGAAAACAGACCGAGTCATCTGACCCTGACGCAGGAAGTGAAGCAGGTTTCCAAGTGCTCGCACTGCATTGCACTTCACCTGGAAGAAATGAGAAAAGGCAGACCAGGCGATGTTTAAAAAGCTAAATCTGGGGAGTTAATGTGCTCCTCTCTGGCATTAAAGACTTCCTTACCTTGTCTCTGTCTGCAGCTGCTCGATTTGCTGCCTGCAGCATCTTCAGCAGAAGCATGTCGGACAGTTCTTCCTGGAAATCTCCACCTAAATTCTCCCTAAAGACAGAGACCAGATACCAATGATGTATCCAATGGAGGTTAAACTTACACAGACTTAAACCTGTTACTAATTGTCACTGTTAATAAGTTCAACGTTTTCTACCAGTCTTTACACATGATGTGACCCTTAAAACAGAAAAAAAAACATATTGACCACTGTATTATAGATACATGGTAGTTAAATTAAGCTGGTTTGAGTCACTGATCAGAGTTTTAATCCCAGTCCACAAACAATTAGTCCAGCTGAGATCACACGTTTCTAAAAGCTACATATTTTCCTTTTTTTATTCTGTTTTTGGGACAATCATCCTGTTTAAACATCCAAAAATTTCAGTTTTCATTTAAGAGGATGATAGAATTCCACAGCACCATGCTGCCAACACTATGCTCTACTGCCATACCAATTTAAGCTTAGCTTAAAGCCTCATTGTGGAATCCTCCAAACATATTACTTGTCTCTATGGCAAAAACCACCATTATTTTCTTAATGCACTGGAACAAAAGAAAAAAATATTCCTGAGTGCTTCTGACTCCATGTTGACAGACTTTCACTCTTGAAACGACCAACTTAGGAGACGCAATTTCAGTGAATGTTCATCTTTTGTAATGAACAAGGACCCTGGTGTCCCAGAAGTTTGTGGTTCCTCTCCTATTAAAGCCTGGTGGTGTTTTATTCATCTGAGGTGTAACATCAGGGCCGCGCAACAAACGCTGCAACTAATGATCATTTTGAAAATCAATAACTTTTTTTAATCGATTAATCGATTCATTGGCCAAAGGTTCTTTAAAGAAGATTTTTTTAAATGAAATTAAATCAGGTGAAACTAAAACTTTATGAGTTCTGTTTAGAGCAGAACTGACACATTTTTTTTTATCTTAAATGCAAAATGTTTATATAATTTTTCTTACAGTTTTGATACAATTACTGCTCTAAATTGGTTGCTCTGTCAGCTAAAGGCATATTTTACTGTCTCTATGCTCCAGTTAACGATTGATTGCTAAATTAGTTAATTATTATTTTTATATCAATTAATCAGGATTAATCTGATTAATTTTTCAGCCCTACATGCAACCCAATAAGCACTAAGGGTGGGCACTTCTTGCATCGTTTATCATTATCAGTTTCTAGTCATAGTAAGAACTTTAATTTATCGTCTAAATGCGTAATTAGAACGAATGATGATTAAAAGCTCCAGAAACAAATTCTCTTATTTTCTGTATTTTTTTTATGCAGTGGAACATTTAAAAACTGAAAGAATATGATTATATGCAGTTACTACAAGATGTTTAGTGGAATAAATAATTTTTTATTTAACTGGTGTCCCGAGGAAAACGAATTTGAGTATTAATTGTGATTGTGGGGCTATGATTGCTGTGGTAAGCAGTGAAATCCATACACTTACCTAAGAAACACTGCAAAAAAGTACTTCACTTTTATCGTCATCGCAATAATATTATCCAACCTCCTGATAACATTTTAAGAGCATATCACCCAGCCCTACTAAGCAGGTACAGGAAATGGCTGGATGGAAGGGGGCAGTCTTAGTCGCATAGGTTGAAAATCATGCAGTTTGTTATATTTGCAGTACAATGATCCTAAACATGCATCAAATCTGGTTTTCTTCAAGCAAAGCAAATTAATATCCATTTTTGCAAACAACTCTTTTTATATAAAAAAAACTTTCAGACTATGATTAACAATCAATGTGTAAATAAATGAGTTTTAGGGCTGACATGAATAATGGGGATTCATGTATTATGGAAATAATTGTTAATTTGGTAACTGTATCGTTAACTAGAGACTAAAGAATGTGAAACGCAGTACTTGCTGAAAGAAAATAACTCAGCTAAGCCAAAACTGTATAAAAAATAAAATCATTTTCCAGTTAGGAAGGAATGTCTTTGTCTATAAATATGCCCTTTAAAGAACGTTAAGTTTTAGCTTCATCTTGTTCGAACTCTGTAAAATTAACAGTAAAATAAAATCTGCTATTACAGACTTTTTGCCCCCTGATATTTAATGTGTTAACTGGAACAGAGACAGAGGGACAGAAATATGATGGAAGAACAGTGGCTGAAATTAGCTTTGGTTTTCAGAATTTTTAACAAAGCAATTAACATCGGAGACCAAGTGCAGATTCTTTAAAGAGAACATTGAAAACTTTGTTATCCTTTTGTCTGATAATGACATAACAAAAATGGTTCTTTATTTAGTGTTTTTCCGATAGGATCCCGTTTTGGATTTTGATAATGCATTTAGAACGTGAGCTAAAGCTAAAAATACAAATAGACACGATGTTGAAATCAACATGTAGTGAAGCAAACTACAGATGAAAACATCTTAATTTGAATGAAATCAATGGGAAAAAAATGCTGCTTTTATTGGACTTTTCAATTTTAGAGAATAGAAGGAGCGTAAAAACATTTTTCAAAAAGGCTGTTTTCTTTTTCTAAACTGGAAAATGGTAAAAGAAAACTTCAGGCTTTCTGAAGACTGCACAGGGATCCAAACTCTCGCCTCTTTTAACTCGAGCTGTCTTACATGTTGATGATAAGGGTGTCTGTGAGGTTTCCCAAAGACCAGGCAGCCTTTGCACGGACGTTTGTAAATCGGTCATCGAGGGCAGCCAGGATGATGTTCGCAGTATCTGCCACAAACATCACATCCTGAGAGGAGAACTTGATGAGAGGAAATCTGGAGATGCTCTAAAAATCAAAGATTATGATCATCACTTTACTCACCTCTCTTAAACAAGGGAACAGGATGTAAACTCCCAAAGCCCTGACAGCTGCCGTCTTCACCAGATAGTTCTCAACGTAAGTCAGGCCCAGCAGCACAGTGATGCACATCAGCTGAGTTTTATCCTTTAAGCATCATCAATAACAACCACATGAATATCAATTTTAGCTTAATAAATTAGAAGTTAAAGAAAAAAAAAACTGACAGGAAGCTGAGCAAAGGCCTGTGGCAGGATGGAGGCGAGCGTGTCGCAGGCGCTCGCCTGTAGCGTGGGATGTTGTTCGTTTTGCAGCGCCGCGTTCAGTGGCCCGCTCAGCACATCCGACCAGAACGCCACCACCTGCAACCAGGAGCAAGCGCTGAATTAGGTCACTGTGCAGAGGTCTGAGAATAGAGGGCTCAACTGTTTGTTAAATTCAAAAAAGATTATTTTATAAAATCATGCCTACAACCACCTGGAAAAGCTTTAGTGATTTAACCACCTAAACAGGAGCCATCCAAGCTAAAAGTCAAAGTCCTATATTCAGTTTCACACAATCAGCAAACATGTTGAAACATGTCTAAGGCTACGTTCACACTGCAGGCCTTGATGCTCAATTCTGATTTTTTTGGGGGAAAAACGGCGTTGCTGTTCATATTTCCAAATAAATGCGACTTGTATGTGATTCTCCTGTGTGAACTGCAGTCATAAAACGCAAGTGTCCCGCATGCGCAGTAGAGGACGCAATGACGTCACAGGCCAGCGTGCTCCATGGATGATAGTGCCGACGCGCATCTAGCGGTCTTTTCCAACCATAAAAACTCAATCTTTTCAATATGTTTAAACATAAATACAGCTCTCCACATCATTATCCGCCATGGTTGTTGTTTTTCTTGCCGCTTCTGCATAGCAAGACACAGAATAGTGACCTTTGTCGGGTATTAATGGTGTTCAGGTTGGATTAATCCGGCCTGGCCGTTCACACACAGGTTGCATTTGAAAAGATCGGATTCGTATCGGATTCAGGACCACATAACCAAGTGGCCTGGGTCGCATTGGAAAAAATCGGATATGTGTTGTTCAGACTGCCATGAAAAGATCAGATCCAGGTCGCATATGGCCAAAAAAAAAAAAAAGATTTGGGTCACTTCAGGCTGCAGTGCGAACGTAGCCTAAGATTCTTTCCAAGTTGGACAGAAATCACTGTTTGGGTCCACATAATCTCCCCATAGCCTTACATGGTGGTGGCAGACTCATTATGTGAGACAGAGACAGCAGAGCCTGAGCTGTTGATAGATGGATGAATGCTGCTAAATGCAGAGCGATAATGACCCGAGACTGGAGCAAAGGTTCTCACTTGATTTACAGGAATCCTGGAGCTTTCAGGAACGTTATTCTCAGCTCTGTACTGCTGGATTATTCCTGCACCAAACTCCTCTAGCAGCTACAAAAAACAACAAAAAAAAAACAATGCTTTATCTATTTTCTAAACAATGCATGTTAAAGTGAAGTTTATAAATGCTTCCTCCGCATGGAAAGTGTTACCTTTGCACTATGTAGCTGGATGGAGGGGTCCATCTCCCCGAGGCACCGAGTGCTCAGCTGCCCAATCTCATTCAGACTTGACTGAGCAAGAGGGAAATAACCTCGTACCAGGTGGGACAAGACCTGAGGACGCATTCAGAGTAAAATTAATAAGCATGAACCTGTAAGTGTTTGGAGCAGTTTCCGTTTTCCTTACCTGTAGAGCTTCTAGACGGACCTGAGAGGGCTCTAAAGCAGGGCCCCCTCCAGCTCCCTCACTGTCTGATTGCTCCTCTCTGGGGTGAGTCACCAGAGATACGCACAGCTTCAGCAGCCATGGTGACGAGTTCTCCTCCTCCTTTGGTGTTTGAGGGTGGGGGGAGTGAGTGCGAGAGGATGCTGCCGGCGTACGAGCAGGAGAGGAAGCTCCGTTCCTGTTTCTCCAGCTCAGAGCAGGTTCCTGTGGAGTGACAATACCGGAGGAACTGCCGCTGCTGAGACTTTCTGGTTGCTGGAGGAGAAGCTGTACTTCAGGGAGGGGGGCCTGAGCCGTTACTATGGCACCGTACAGTCTCAACACAGCCCCACGCACCGTCACATCTGAGGACACAGCATTACTGCAATCAGATGAATTTTAAGAAGCAAAAGAGTTCATTCCAGGGCAGAGAGCGGTTACAGACCTCTGTGGCGCACATAAGGACGGATCTGCTTCCAGAGCAGGCTCAGCAGACCAGGTCTGAGGCGATGATAGGGAGCGTTGGCTACCAGGAACGCCAGGCACTGTCAGACAGGAGGAGATCACAATTTCTGTCACATTACCGTATTTTCGCAACTATAAGGCGCATATAAACGTCTTTTTTTCCCTCAAAATGTGCGGCGCGCCTTATAGTGTTATCCTACCCATAAAAGGAAGAAGTCTTAAAAGAGGAAGTCTGAATTAAAAATACTTACAACTTACAAACATACAAAGCAGCAACATGAACTGCTAATTAAACTTCTCTTTTTTATTTTCAGTTACAGTAAATATATGAATATTTTATTCTAGAGAATGTTCAGCTTTTTGGTCATTTGACATTGCCGTGAGAATAAATTAAAGGCAAACTGAAGACGAATAGGGAAAGGTCGTGATAAAGTCTCTGAACAGCACATTAATGCCACCTTCTGAATTTTTTGTCATGTTAAATTGCAGCACATCTGTTCTAATAAGATC